ATTGGCCGTGTTGCAGAGGCAAGTCGTCCCGCTGAGGTCTGAGGAAGCGGGATGCCAGTCTCGGCCCTCCTCGTCCCGTCCTCAATCTGGTTGAGGCCCGCATCGTAGCACCCATAAAATGTGGGTTTACGCAGAGGCTCGGCTTTATATATACAGAGCTTTATACGCAGAGGGTCGAGCGATGGAGGCGGAGGTTCATGCAGTGCAAAAAGAAGCGCACACAACTCGTGAATTATGTGGGTATTACCCCGACTCTCCTGACGGGGAGGGTTCTACTTCCGAGGATGTCGATCGCCTCGACTCGGATGCATGGTATGAGGACATCTATACCACAGGGGCGGTAGTTAGTTTGAACTTGTGTATTTTTGCTTCCGCCTTTGCTTTGGCTGTGTGGTGTATTAAAATCCGTCCGTGTGGACGAATGTATATAATTTTTGTTATAATATAAACTTTTGTTTTTGTCACTTCGTCTGTTTGTTGCTTCTCCCTTTTGTTGTTTTTGTTTTATGCTTAGCCGTTAGGATGCTGCTTCGACTGTCGTCGAGGTAACATCCGTCATGGTTCGAACGAAGTCGAACAATGTCGATGGCCTTAGCCATTAGGATGTTGCTTTGACTGTCATCGAGGTATCATCCGTCGTGGTTCGAACGAAGTCGAACAATGTTGATGGCCTTAGCTGTTAGGATGTCGTATCGACTGTCGTTGAAGTAACATCCGTCGTGGTTCGAACGAGGTTAAACAATATTGATGGCCTTAGCCGTTAGGACGTTGCTTCGACTGTCCTCGAGGTAACATCTGTCGTGGTTCGAACGAGGTCAAACAATGTTGGCCTTAGCCGTTAGGATTTCGTATCGACTGTCGTCGAAGTAACATCCGTCGTGGTCCGACCGAAGTCAAACAATGTTGATGGCCTTAGCCGTTAAGATTTCGTATCGACTGTCGTCGAAGTAACATCCGTCGTGGTTCGAACGAGGTCGAAGAATATTGATGGCCTTAGCCGTTAGGATGTCATATCGACTGTCGTCGAAGTAACATCCGTCGTGGTCCGAACGAAGTCGAACAATGTCGATGGCCTTAGCCGTTAGGATGTCGATTCGATGGAGATTCGACTTCTGTTCGTATCATGGAGATTTCTATTTACATAATGGAGATCGACACTTTTGTTCATATAATGGAGATTTCTGTTTATACGATGGAGATTGACTTCTATTCATACAATGGAGATCTCTGTTTATACAATGGAGATTGACTTCTATTCATACAATAGAGATCTCTGTTTATACAATGGAGATTGACTTCTATTATACGATGAAGATTGACTTCTATTCAAACAATGGAGATCTCTGTTTATACAATGGAGATTGACTTCTGTTCATACAATGGAGAACGACTTCTACGTATATAATGGAGATTGACTGGGGTAGTCCCTTCATTACTTCTGTCCAAAGATCGTGTTGATGGACCGAGGTGATGAATATGCTTTTGATCCACGGGGCATCCCCTTCGCCGCCTCGTTAAAAACCTCCTCGAAAAAACCCAATTGGGACAAAACTCAGGTGAGGGAAAAAGGGTACGACTTAGGAGACGCCTCTTAGAAGTGGAAGTACTTGATGTGAGCGACGTTCCAGTTGTTTTGGAGTGGTTTTCCTTCCATTGTTTCCAGTTGAAACGCTCCCTTATTTGCGGCTGTTGTGATTTTATACGGTCCGTCCCAGTTGGTTCCTAACTTTCCCTCGTTTGGGTCTTTTGATGCCAGTGTCTTGGCCTTGAGGACGTAATCGCCAACTTTGAGTGATCTTACTTTGGCTTTTCTGTTGTAGTATCTCTCTACCTGTTGTTTTTGGGCTATCATTCTTATATGGGCCATGTCTCTCCGTTCTTCGACTTCGTCTAGGTCTTGTAACCTATTTTCATCGTTACCTGTTCCGCTGTCATGAGAGTATCTCAGGCTCGGCTCCCCGACCTCGATGGGTATGACTGCATCGGTCCCATAGACCAGTGAATATGGCATTTCTCCCGTGCTGGACTTTGGCATTGTTCGGTATGCCCATAGTACTTCAGGCAGTAATTCGGGCCATAGCCCTTTAGCTTTCTCGAGCTTCTTTTTCAATATGTTCAATATTACTTTGTTCGAGGACTCGGCTTGACCGTTGGCGGCTGGGTGGTATGGAGTGGAGAGTATCCGCTTGATGTGCCATTTTTGGAAGAACTCGATCGTTTTCTTTCCGATGAACTGAGGTCCATTGTCGCAGCTGATTTCTTTGGGGATGCCAAAACGACATATGGCATTTTTCCATATAAAGGCGATGACTTCCTGTTCACGTATTTGGGCGTACGCACCTGCTTCCACCCATTTAGAGAAATAGTCAGTTAAAACTAAAAGGAAACGTACCTTTCCTCGCCCGGCCGGCGGAGGGCCGATTATGTCCATCCCCCATTTTATGAAGGGCCATAGCGACGTGACTGAATGGAGGGTTTCTCCTACTTGATGTATCATGGGGGTGTATTTTTGGCATTGTTCGCATCTCTGGACGTAGTCTGCTGCTTCTTTTTTCATGGTAGGCCAGTAATAGCCGGCGCGTATGAGACATCGGACGAGGGCACGGTTCCTAGTATGGGCGCTGCAATGGCCCTCATGCACTTCCTCCAATACTTGCCTTGTTTGGTGGGGTCCGAGGCATTTGGCGAGGGGGCCGCCGAACGTTCTTTTGTAGAGGTCATGATTTACCAAGCTGTACCGGCAGCTTGCACTCGGAGTTTCTTGGCTTCTTTCTTGTCTTGCGGGAGTGTTTCGTCCTGTAGATAGGATACAAAGCGGTTGCACCAGTCCCAAGTTAAGTTCAAGGAAAATACCTCGACGTGATCAATGGCTGAATGGAGGAGAGTGACCACGTCACCTTTGTTGATGTTCTTGGTGGCTGTGGCTAGCTTGTCTAGGCCATCTGCTTCAATGTTTTATGCCCTAGGTATCTGCTCGAGGCGGCATTCGTCGAATTCTGGCATCAGCTTGTGGATCTCTGATTGATACTTTTGTATCCTTTGTTCTTTAATTTGGAAAGTCCCAGTGACTTGATTTACGACGAGTTGAGAATCGCAGTGGAGAATGAGTCGCCAGGCTCCGTTTTTAAGTGCTAACTTCATACCTGCAATCACAGCCTCGTACTCGGCCTCGTTGTTAGTCATCTCGGGACATCGTATGGACTAGCGAACTATTTCGCCTGTAGGGACTTCAAGGACGAGTCCCAGTCCTGATCCCGAGGCATTCGAGGCTCCTTCAGTATAGAGGGTCCAAAAATCGGTAAGAGTGGAGGCACGAAGGGCCTCTTGTTCTTCTTCCGGCAAGATTTACGCACTGAAATTGGCGACGAAATCGGCGAGTACCTACGACTTAATGGCAGTTCGCGGGTGATATGTGATATCATGCTCGTTGAGCTCTATGGCCCACCTGGCGAGTCTGCCAGAGAGCTCGGGTTTATGCAGGATGCCCCTTAGGGGAAATGTTGTTATTACTTTTATGGGGTGACATTGAAAGTAAGGTCTAAGCTTTCGTGAAGCTATGACTAGTGCCAGAGCCAGTTTTTCAAGGTGTGGGTACCTTGTTTTGGCATCGATTAAGGTTTTGCAGATATAGTAAATGGGGGATTGTGTACCTTTACTTTTGCGGACCAGGACTGCGCTGACGGCGACCTCAGATACTGCTAGGTATACGAGTAGACTTTCGCCTGGGTCTGCCTTGACGAGTAGTGGTGGTGAGGACAGATATGTTTTCAGTTTCCTCAGGGCGTCGATGAACTCTTCGTTCCATTGTAGTCCATAATCCTTTCTCAGTACATTGAAGAACTTATGGCACCTGTCCGAAGATCGTGAAATGAACCTTGATAGGGCGGCTATTCGCCCCGTCAGCTTCTGTACCTGTTTCTTGCTTTTCAGTACCTCAGGTATCGACTCTATGGCCTTGAGCTGGTCCGGGTTGACCTCGATGCCCCGTTGCGACACAAGGAAACCCAGAAACTTTCCCGAGGCTACGCCGAAGGCGCATTTTTTCGGATTCAGTTTCATTCCGTACCGCTTCAATATCTCGAAGGCTTCTTTCAAATGGCTGATCTGGTCTTCTTTCTTTGCCGATTTTACCAGCATGTCATCGATATAGACCTCCATTGTCTTGTCGAGATGTTCCTTGAATATTTTGGTAACTAATCTCTGGTATGTGGCCCATGCATTCTTGAGTCCGAACGACATCACATTATAGCAGTAAGTCCCTTGGTGGGTGATGAAAGTTGTTTTCTCTTGATCCTCCCCGGCCATTAAGATTTGGTTGTAGCCGGCATAGGCGTCCAGGAAACTCAGCAGTTCGTGTCCCGCTGTTGCGTCGATCAACTGGTCGATATGGGGCAATGGAAAGGAATCTTTTGGACATGCCGTGTTCAGATCGGTGAAGTCCATGCACATTCTCCACTTGCCGTTTTTCTTCTTTCCCATGACTACATTAGCGACCCATTGGGGGTATTTTTATTCTCTGATGGAACCGTTGGCCAGTAATTTGTCCACGTCTTCACTGACTGCCTCGTTAATTGCAGCATTGAATTTCCTCCTCATCTGCCGCATGGGCGGGTGGAGCGGATCGACATTCAGCCTATGAGTGGCGATGTCTTTCGGAATCCCCGGCATATCTGAGTGTGAAAAGGCAAATAGATCGGCGTTGTTAGTTAAAAATTCACTATACTTACCCGGCTCGGAGAGGTTATGTCCGATATAAGCCTTTTTGTATCGTCGGTGTCGTCCAGGTGTACCGTGTCGAGATCTTCAATAGTTGCTTTGCAAGTTTCTATAACGTCGGGCTCTATGATGACTTCTGCTGGTGGGTCGGTTTTAGTTCCCGACATGGCTGATTGCTATGCCTCCGCGCTTGCCCCTTTTAACTGCTTGGTATGTGTGCAATATTAGGCGATCCGGTAGCATTCCTGGGCGGTACGTGTTTCGCCTCGAATGCTGAAAATTCCCTACCGGGTGGGAAATTTGATTACCTGATAAAAGCTTGAGGGGACGGCTTGCATGGCATGTATCCATAGGCTTCCTATGATGGCATTGTACGCAGTTTCCTGATCCATGACGTGGAATGTAGTTTCCAGTGTGACTCCCCCAGCCAGGACTGGCAGTGCTATTTCTCCAGACGTCCGTTCTACTGCATTATTAAAACCCGTTAGTGTTATGCAATGGGTTATTATCTTATCCTCGAGCTTCATTCGCATGAGAACTCTCGGGTGGATAATACACGCCCCGCTTCCGTCGTCTGCCATAATTCTTTTCACATCTGTATCAGCAATGCGTAATGTTATGACTAAAGCATCGTAATGAGGTAAAGACAAACCGTCGGCATCTGACTTTTCAAAAATGATACTATCTTCGAAGCCATCGTACCGTTCGTGAGCGATTGTACGCTTCAGCTTGTGTGTGGTGGTGAACTTTACGTGATTGATCATTGAGTCGTCACCGCCGCTAATAATCATTTGTATGGTGCGTGCTGGCGACGGTGGCCTTGGTGGTCCTTGAGATGGGTCGCGCCCCCTGGCGAAGTTGGCCCTTCCTTTATCACTGAGCAGTTCTTTCAGGTGTCCCTGGTTCAGCATTCTGACCACCTCCTGTCGTAACCCTATGCAATCTTCGGTCTTGTGTCCTCTTTCTTGATAGAATTCGCAGAGGACATTTGACCTTCTTGTATTTGGGTCCGATTTCATCTTTTGTGGCCACTGCACCTTCGTGCCCAGTTTCTCTAGTGCGTACACTATTTCTGAAAGGGAAACACAAAAGTTATGAGCAAATAATGGAGGCATACCTTTTTCATTTCGGAGGGGCACGATATGTCGCGACAGGGCATCTACATGCCTCGGGGGAGGCGGGTTAGGAGTTCTGACATAGGGCTGATGCCTTTATCTGTTGAAGCGTGGGAGCTGATCCCTTCGTCCGTCGTTGCGTTGGTCTCTCCTTACCTCGGATTGTACTGACATTAGTCGCTGTGTTGGACCGTTGAGATCGTCTTCATCTGCTCTTACTTCGGCGCAGTAGGCATTATGGATTTCCTCCCATGTAGTGGGAGGGTACGTCATGAGTCGGTTGAGTAACTTCTTGGTTGCCTTCGACCCGCTTCTGCTTAATCCGTTTTGGAAGGCTGCGACCGCTACTCCTTCCGTCAAATTTGGCAGTCCCATTCTTACCCTGTTGAATCGGGCTAGGAAGTCCCGAAGTCATTCGCCTGCCGTTTGTCTGATGGCGAAGATGTCGTTGACCCTAGCTTCAGCCTTCTTTGCTCCTACATGAGCGGTAGCGAATTTATCTGCCATTTCCTCGAATGTCGATATCGACCGTGCTGGTAGCTGAGAATACCAGGTTAACGCTCCTCTTGTCAAAGTCTCACCGAACTTTTTCAACAGCACAGATGGCACTTGTTCTTTTGACAAGTCGTTGCCTTTTACCGTAGTGACATAATGAATCAGGTGATCTTCTGGATCTGTAGTCCCATCGTATATTTTCAAGTATGGTGGCATTTTGAAGGTTTTCGAGATGGGGTGGGGAGCATCTTCCTCACTGTACGGCTGCTCGACGAACCTTCCCACATCGCATTTCCGCAACAACTTTGGGGCGCCGGGTATTTTGTCAACCCTTTCCTAGTGTTCTTTCATTTGGTCACGAAGCCTTTTGTTCTCGCTTTCCATTTCTTCCACTTTCTTCAGGATGGTCGTGAGTGTACCATCACTTGCATCGGTGGTAGTGCGGGTGTTGATTGTTTGTATGGTGCTTGGTTCGTCGGTGGCAGCAGCGACTTCCACAGTCGGCGAATCTCCGATTTTTCCTAGAGGGGGTTTTTCGAGCATGGTGTTTAGAGCATTTGTCAACCACTCCTCTAACAGCTTTTTGACTGCTGGTGGTGTCTCTTTCACTGTGGACGTTGAAGTTCCTCTTTCGCGCAAGATCGTCAGTTCCTCGAGTGTAGAGGGTGAGATCTCTCCCTCCGGTGTACCTCTTGGTGTTATATTCTCGGTATCTTCTCTACCGGCTTCATTGAGGGAATCCAAGAGGTTGTTTGAGACATTTGCTATAGCTTTCAACCTTGCTTCTTTCTCTGCCATCACTGGTTTCTATGGAGTGCGAAGGGTAGAGATCGTTGCTTTTGATATCCCAGGTGAGAACTACGATTTCGACTACAGAAATCCCTACAGACGGCGCCAAATTGTTTGACTCAAAAGATGTTAATCTTTTTAAGCAAATCAATCAAAGAGATGAAGGGGTAAATCGTAGTCAGAGATAATAATCCCTAGGATTGTTGCAATAATCGGAATAATAACAACAGTATATTAATAAGAGAGAGAGAGAGAGAGATAGAGAGAGATAGAGAGATAAAGATTAGAGAGAGAATCCGTTTTTCTATTACAAGTTATCTGTCTATTACAAGGTTCGGATCCCCTTTATATAATAGGGGGATTCGAGGTGAGTCCCTAGAATGGCAACGTCGATGTACTTTATGGCGGAGCCGATAACAGGTCGAGGTCGTCTCTCTTCTCACCTCGGGGTCGTTCCCTTGTGTCGAGTCGTAAACATTAGGCGGCCAGTCATGTTGGCGGTAGGACGTGGTTGGTCAAATTTGACCCCATACATTAATCAACAATTATACTTATGTTACTCTTGCAAGCTAATCCACTAAATTATTATAGTCTTAAGCATACATTTAATTCTCCAAATTAGAACCATACAATTCTATTTGTTCAAATAGAAAAAAAGAGAGAAAAAAGGTAAGGTTTGAGATATGGTGGGCCAGCACAGGTTTAACTCACCTCAGCAATTGGCCAAACAAAATCTGCACGACAGCCTTTGTCTAATTGTGATATTGACAAGGCTTCATTCTCAATGGAATTTTGCTTCATAAAAGTACTTGAGATTAACTGCGTTGAAACTATCAAAAGTGTATATTTTTAGCCGTCTTTAAAAATAATAGCCCATAAAATACATGTTTTTTTGTATGTGTAATATATGTATATAATAAACATATTTTATATACATTTTGCCGATCAAATGCAATTAGTTTCGACCGACCAACCAATATTGGGTTTACTTTATGATTAGCTTGAATTATGTATATTTACAAAGTTCAAGTATCCGATATTGTAGAATGTAGTGTTCGAGCTTTGTGAGACCAAAGATTCATAAATTTGAACATAATATAACAACAAATAGAGTTTGATCTATTAAACTTGCTAAGTACAACCTTTCGCTGCAATTTAAGACGATCATAGCCAAGTAACCATCTTAAACCAGGAACATACTCCATTGATCCTAGAAACCTTGCATATATAATCACTATAGAAGACGAAATCACAGCATAAGCAGCAACTTTCCCCGGCGGAAATATGGCTAACAATGAAATCATGTAGCTCAACATCATGAAAACCAAAGACATTTGTAGTGGCAAACTATACCTACTAGTTTGAACCAAGAAAATAATCAACCCCACAGAAATTACAAAACATATCGTATTTGTATACATTATGGGGTTGAAGTATTTCTTCGGCAAAACCACCGTTCCGGGACGATCACCGCCGCCCGCGGTGGTTGTTGTGCTGCCGTCGCCTTGTGTTACGCCGCCAGGTGGGCTGAGCAAGGCTTGATAGGTAGCTGTTGCAATGAGTATAGCTACCACCAGCAGCGCATTTCGTACGTCATTTGACAAACCTTTTCTTAGATTAACGTCGTATTTGACGAATTTTTCGGTGATTGTCTCTTTTGATCCAAGAAAATCTGATAAAAGAACGTCTTTGTTCAGTGAAGAAGAAGTTGAAGCACCTGCAGAGCGTAAAACTCTCTTCATCTCTCTGCTTTGTTCGTCTGGAAGTCCTATTGCTATGTCAAGAGCTGTCATTCCTTGTGTATTCTTTTCGTTTATATTTTTCATGTTCTTGATTAACAACTTAACTATCTGCAAAATGGTAATAATAATTAGGATTAATAGTTTTGCTACTAAAACTACAATTGATTCCAAAAAGGGATAAGGATAAAATTTGCTCTTGTATTATTCGAAATTGAGCAAATTTGCCTCCGTTAAATTTTTGGTTTAATATCGCCTCCCCGTTAGGAAACAACCTCGTCTTTTGCCCTTGTCCCTAACGGAGTTCTAACGTAACGGTAATTTTAAATCACAGTCAGAAGTTGAAGGATAAATTTGAATATTTTCTCATAAAAAATTTTGGACATGTGGAGTCCACTCATTTTATACTGGAGCTCTGTTAATAACAAGGGCAAATATGAGATGATTTGCTAACCATAAAGGTATGAATGGACCAAGAACGTTACTGAAGGTAAAATTAAGCAATTTCAAATAGTAAGGACAAATTTGAACATTTTCCCTTCCAAAAAAGTAGTAAGAAAAAAATGGCGGAATACCTAAAACCATTCTAAAGGGTATAAATATATTTTATTTTTCAAAAAACGCCACATGACAGGAAAATTCACGTGGCAGGCGAGTGCATGCCACTTTCCTAAGATGAGATCATCCTAGGGGGTAACATCTATCGAATAACCAAGTATAGGGGGGTAATTAAGACCACAGATAGTTCAAGGATGTAACCAATAATACGTGCAAAGTTTAGGGAGGTTTTAAGGTATTTTGCCTAAGAAAAATAAAAGGACAAACCTGGAGTTGATTAGTGGAAACAGCAGTATGCAGAATAGTATCACCATTTTCATCTTTCAACTTAAGAATCTCTCTGTTGTTTGTCCTTTGGAGCCATCCTAGTAAAACTAGAACACAGTTTAACTTGCTGTTTTTGACAGCAACATGTAAAGCAGTTTCACCGCGACTCGTCAAGTCCTTGATTGATGCAGGACAAGCATAGAGAAATTCCCCTAAAAGATTGATATTTTCTGTTTCTGCTACATAATGTAAAGGAGTAATTCTTTCTCTTCCTCGAACACGAATGAGTTCAGGATCATGCTTGATGAGTCGTTTCACTGTCTCAACATGTCCTTTTTTCAGAGCTGAGTGCAAGGGGCTTAAACCATCAGAGTTTAGCTTTCTACCAAATGAAGGCTTTAAGCTCAAGATTTCAATGGCTAATTGAGTTTGTCCAGCTGATGCAGCAATGTGTAACGGAGTATCCACAAATGGGATCTCATCGATTCTTTCAAGATCCGGATTTAGCAAGTAGAAGTCATCAATGCATCCTGCTCCACAAACATCAACCAATATTTGATCCATGCTGAGTTATTAACCGATGAAGTTACTAGTAAGTAATGTTTACTTTAGCCTCGTAGAAACAAAAGTTGAAGCAAAATAGAATGCAAAAAATAGGTGAACTACGTTGACTTCATGTTGCTTCCAATGATAATTGAACAATAAATAAAGGGGAAGTTTGCGCGTATGATTGTGAAAGCTTGCTGGTTTTATTCATTATGTCCAGCAAACAAATATTATCTGTTTCTTGACTCAGAATTATTTAGTATAATTACTTGGTTAATCAAGATTATCTTGGTACCATCAGAACAAGGAACAAAATTAAGATAAACTTCCTATCATTTTCAAGGCTATGTTAAGGAATTAAGAGCATATAGTTCAGCTAATGATTAGTAGTATTTTATATGAGAAGTGGTAGAGTAATGATATTAGTTTAATCAAAGTCAATTTGGTTGTCGGTTGCGTGTTCCATTCCATGTATAAGAGAAGAAATGCCTGAAGAATAATGAAATAATCATCAATATTTAGGAATAATATGCACAGCTATCAAAATAGAAATAGAATAAGATAACAAATGTAAGAAAATGTCAAGGGACCATTGCCTCTATACTTGACACTATATGAAAATATTAAAAGGGTCTATTCTGAAGGGCTAATCACAATAAGTTCCAATGGATGCAGCTGAGAAGCTGGCGGAGGCTGCTCGCGTGGGTAATATTGATGTGTTATATGAGCTTCTATGTTCAGATCAATTTCTACTGGAGAGATTTGAACAGGTACAATTTATCGATACGCCTCTGCATATAGCAGCCTCAGAAGGTTGTACACACTTTGCTATTGAAATAATGAGCTTAAAACCTTCATTTTGTGGGAGACTCAACACCAATGGATTTAGCCCCCTTGACTTGGCTTTGCGCAACGGACACAGGGAGACTGTGTCAAGGCTGGTTCAATTTAACCCCGACCTTATCCGAGTGCAAGGAAAGGAAAGAATTACACCTTTGCATTATGTTGCAGAAACAGATGACATAGAATTTTTGGCCGAATTTTTACTAGCTTGTCCTGCATCTATCGAGGACTTGACCATTCGCGATGAAACTGCAGTTCATATTGCTGTGAAAAATAGCAATGAAAGAGCATTCAAAGTCCTCTTAGGATGGCTTCAGCGGACTGAAAATTTGGATATTTTGGACTGGAAAGATGAGACTGGAAATACAGTTCTGCATATTGCAGCTTCTACAAATCAACCTCAGGCATGCTTTCTTGATAAATTTCTGTACTTTTAACTTTTAATTTGAAAATTAGCAGACGACAAATTTGTAATCCTAGAATGGATATTTACACAGGTGGTTAGACGTTTGATCAAAAGAGTTTACACACTTAATGAAGTTAACGCAGAAGGCTTGACAGCATTCGATATTGCCCTAAGACTACCAATGGATTCGAGCAGAGAAGTTAAGAAAGTTTTGCAAAAGGCCGGAGTTTGCAGATCTTCATTACTTCCCTCAGTTTGTAGCAAGGCGCAATTTTTCAGTTCAAAAGAATACATGTCTCAGAAAATAGTAAAGCTCCACGCTTTTCTACATAAGGGTTTATCAGAAGACACGCGCAACGTGCTTCTAGTGGTTGCAGTGCTAATTGCCACAGCTTCTTATCAAGCTGTATTGAGTCCTCCAGGAGGACTTTATTCCAATGATAATGGAAAATTACAAGGTGGTTTAAGCAATGGACAAGTACAAATGCCGACTAATTATCTGAATTTGTTCCTTATTTTCAACTCTTTGGCCTTTGCTTTGTCTGTTGGAATGATGGTTTTATTCATTCAGGAGAGTTTGGGTGGCGCGCTGCTAGATTTGGCGCTGCTGTTTCTGATGCTGAGCTATTTCATATCCATGTTTTCAATATCAGGGAATACGGAAACTGGTTTAATGAGTGCAGGTGGCGCGTTAGCTATTATTTCTTCGCTTTTCTTGTTTTTCTTAATAATAATGCCAAAGATGTGGGTGGATGCGCCAGGTATGATGCTACTCGATTGTTTGACACGCCGGGAAACTGTTTCTGATCGAATGCAGTATCGTCTGGTGGCTAAGAAGTATTCATCATTAGTTGGTCACAAGTGTAAAGGGATTCATTGTAATGATAATATTGGAATTTTGCACAATCTTGCTTTTTTTAGCGAATGATGTTGTATGAGATGGAAGTCCTACATTAATAGTATCATGTCTTTTTTCAACAAGGATTTTCTTTTTGGGGTTCATTTTCCAACCAACACAGTAGTCATTTGATCAAGTAAAACAAGAAAATTATCTACTCCCTCTGTTGCATTTTTGTGCGACAATATTTCTTAATCATTAGGGGTCGTCTGGTACACAGGATAAGGTAGGATAATAAAACGGATAAAAAATAGATAAATTATTCGACCCGACTCATATTTAATACGGATAAAAAATGAGTTACCCGGCGGATAATATGCGTAACCATATTGTTCATGGCTTTTTGAATATGATCATTTTCGGGAGAATTCCTAGTCTCCCAAACTTGAAGAACCCTCAATTTGTGGCTTTATAAATGTAAAAGTTAAACACATTAGTTATCCAATAATTAGCCATTTTCTAAATGGATAATATGGTTTATATATTTGACCCGTTTTTGAAAAGTTTATTATCCAACCTAGTGAATAATATGGGTGGTTAACTCTTTTATTTTAACCATTTTGCCACCCTTAACACCACCCAATGAATTACTAGTAATAGTATAAATTTTTTACTTATACCTTCTTTTCTCAAGTGGTTCTACATTAACCAATTCTGCAGATAATTGTGATTCAAAAAAATAATTTTAGTAATGAGTGATGGTTATTTGAATTTAATACACACTTTTTATAGGCAATCATCTTTAGTTACCTGTTAAAAATAGTGTTTTGTCATTGTTAAATTCTTTTAGTTTGAAAGTATAAAAATTAAAACTCTTATTTTTTTGCGGTTAATTTTTGGAATTTTTACCTCCTATAGCAAAGATTAACACCTTATGTATTTTTAAATAAATACCATTTAAAAAAATTATATCCTATAGATACCTTTTAAGGTTTATAACAAAATATTTAATTTTGATTACCTCCTAGCCATAAGCCACTAAATACGCTATTCAGTTACACTATTTTCTTTCTCTCTCTACTTCGATACATCCCATTCTCTTCCCCCATTCCCTGAAAACACAATGCTCAATCTCAAAATTCCTCTCACCCATCCTATTTTCTTTTCATTCTGATCAATTCTTGCACCGAATATTGAATTGCGATTTAAAAGCAAATCAAATCCCTAACCGAACTAACTGATTTGGGAAAGGGAGTTAACCAACGTTTGAACTTTGACAGATTTCACCTTAGCGGAGGCCTTGGATACAGTGGCCGATGGAGCAGCGGCGACGGAACAGCGGACAGTGGACGGTCGAGATTAAATCTTTTGGGTAGCAGGTAATGAAAAAAGGTGTCGCGTGTTGTACCTTCAAATCTCAAAGGTGTCGCGTGTTGTACCTTCAAACGTTGCTGCGACGGATTCGCCGGAAATTACGGTTTATTCTTGAACAAAGACGACGGAGTTTGGGGCTGAGCAAATTGATTTTCTATTAATATATTTCAATGTATTTTCATGTATTTGATTATATTCATTGTCTTTTTTTTTCCATTGTAATTCAATGTATCTCGTTGTATTCCATGTATTTCATTGTATTCACTGTCTTTTTTTAATTGTATTTCAATGTATTCCGCTGTATTCTATGTATTTCATTGTATTCACTGTCTCGCTATATGCCATGAATGTGTTCATATGTTTTTTTTAATTAATATAATTTATGTATTTAGATTATTATATAATTTCTCTGAAGATTGCTATGTTTGTGGGGTTGTAACGACCCAGCCGGCCGTTTTGAGCTTTTGCACTTTGATCGCCAGTTCCCGGGCATGACTTGCCCCGTGTAATGTATTATGACTGATGTAGATCGTTGGTTTTGGTTTTCAGGGAAAATCAGGATGAATTTGAAGGAACAGTCTCAGTTGAAAGCTTAGAATTTGAAAGGTTTGACCAAGGGTTGACTTATTTGTATATGAGCTCGGATCAGAATTTTTATGATTTGATTAGCTTCATGGGGTGATTTATGACTTAGGAGCGTGATCGGAAGTGGTTTTGGAGGTCCGGTGTGGAATTAGGCTTAAATTGGCGAAGTTACTATTTTGGCGATTTCCGGTTGATAGGTGAGATTTTGATCCGAGGGACGGAATGGAATTCCGAGAGTTGCTGTAGCTTTGTTGTGTGATTTGGGATGTGTGTGTAAAATTTCAGGTCATTCGGAGGTGATTTGATTGGGTTTTTGATCAAATGCGTGTTTCGGGAGTTTTAGAAGAACTTAGGCTTGAATTCGATGTAATTCGATGGTTTTAGTATTGTTTGAGGTGTTTTGATGATTGGAACAAGTTTGAATGATGTTTTAGGATGTGTTGGTGCTTTTGGTTGAGGTCACGGGGGCCTCGGGGTGATTTCGGATGGCTAACGGGAAGTTTGGAGTTGAAGAATATAGCAGAAAATGCAGCAGCAGTGCAGGTCCAAGTTTTGCCTTCGCGATCGCGTTTGAGTCTCGCGTTTGCGGAAGGTCGTTTGGTTGTCCATCGCGTTCGCGTTTCAGTGGTTGCGTTCGCGTAGAGTTGTTTGGCGCGTGAAGGTTCCAGAGCAAATGCTCTTCGCGTTCGCGGGAGAGGGGACCGCGTTCGCGTAGGTTCAGAAACCCAGGGCATCGCGTTCGCGTGTGGGACACTGCGTTCGCGAAGAGTAATTTTGGTCAGAGGAATATTTGTTCATCACGAACGCGAGAGGGCCATCGCGTTCGCATAGAAGGAAATCACAGCTGGGCAGAAGGGTTTTTAAAACATTTCATCCATGAGCCTAAGTCATTTTTCCACCATTGTTGAACATTTTGAGAGCTCTTTGGGAGAAATTGAAGAGGATTCGAAGAGGATTGATTGGAGGTAAGTTTTATGAACCAAAAACGTGATTTTATTGTGAAATTAACCTAGAAATTTATGGAAATTTAGCTAAAAATGGAAGAACTAGAGCTTGGAATTTTGAGATTTTGAATTGGGATTTGAAGGGCCATTTGAGGTCGGATTTGAGAGTTTTTGATATGTATGGACTCGTGAAAGGATAAAGAACCCGTTGATGTGAAAATTTTTGAGTTTCGAGAAGTGGGCTCGGGGCTCGGGTTTTGCCAATTTCGGGATTTTTGATATTTTTCAATTGTTTTAGCTTGGGCTTTGTTCCCTTAGCATATTGTGACGTATTCGTTCTGGTTTTGGTCAGATTCGACGCGCGAGGAGGCCGATTTATGAGACAAGGGCATAGCAAGCTAGAGCTTTGGCCGGTTTGAGGTGAGTAATGATTGTAAATGATATCCTGAGGGTTTGAAACCCCGGATTGCACATCGTAGTGCTATATTGAGGTGATTTGTACGCCGGATAGCGAGCGTGGAGTAGAGCACCGTTGGGGATTGCGACTCAGTCCGTCCCGATTGATGATTTTACTATGTAATTGATTGAAACTTATTTGTTATCATCACTTGAGCTGATTGCCATATTTGGGCTTCGTGCCAGCTATTTGAACCCCTTCGGTGATGGTTGTTGATATTTCCTCACTGTTTTGATTTTATACTTGAACTCAGCCATGTATTTTTTTCACTGTTTTCAAAACTCAGCCAAGTTTAGTTGCTTTAACACTTGAAATGATATCTCCAATAATAATTTGGGCTGAGCATCAAGTTTATTGTTGCCCGAGTGGCTTATGTGATTTTGTTGACTGAGTTAGGCCGAGGGCCTGTATTGTGAGGTTACTTTTGGATCGGGCTGCATGCCGCAACAATATATATATATATATATATATATATATATATATATATATATATATATATATATATATATATATATATATATATATATATATATATATATTTATATATATTGGTCGGGCTGCACGCCGTAGCAGTGTTATGCTGATACTGGTATGAGGCCAAGGGCCTACATTTGATGCCACGAGATGGCTTGATATTGCGCTTGGGCCGTAAGGGGCCCCTCCCGGAGTCTGCACACCCCCAGTGAGCGCCGTCGACGATAAATGGATCGGGCTGCACGCTGCAGCGATATGTGGATCGGGCTGCACGCCGCAGCGATATGTGGATCAGGCTGCACGCCGCAGCGGTACTAGTACTTTTCTATATGTTTACTTTATTTCATTTGTCTACCATTATCTGTTGTCTGTGTTACTTCACGGGGTATCTACCTGATTGCCTGGCATTATCTGTTGAGTGAGTGTTGTGCCCGAGGGGCGGATTTCTGTGCTTATCTGCACTAATTGTTTTGCATTCATTCGCATAACCGTTGAAAAAGTCATTTTCAAAAGAGGTTTGAACTGAGCTAAGATGTTCTCTAAAGATTTCACAACTTCACTGTTTTTTTCTCAAGGGGTTTTATATTGCTTCTATACAGCATGATGATTTGCCTTACGTGATTTCTTACTGCTCAGTTATTATTTACCTTTATTACTCACTGAGTTGGAGTACTCACTTTACTCCCTGCACCTTGTGTGCAGATGCAGGTATTTATACACCCGGTAGCGGGTTTTGGCTGACCGGAGGCAGAGTTATCGGAGTTTAGCAAGGTGACTGTCAGCGTTCGCAGCACCGCTTTTCTCCCTTTCGTTCAGTAGTCCTATTCTGTATATTTTAGGCCTCACAGTTGTATTCATACTTTAATAGATGCTCGTGACTTGTGACACCCCGTTTTGGGCTGTGTCGGGTTGTACTTCCGCTAATTATTATCATTAAATCATATTTAAACTGCTTATAAACTGTTGAACTGTTTTTAAAAGGATGAATTGGGTTTATTTGGCTGGCCTTGTCCCCAAGAGAGGCGCTATCACGACCGGGTCTGGGTTTGGGTCGTGACAAGTTGGTATCATAGCCTAGGTTACATAGGTCTCACGAGTCATGAGCAGGTTTAGTAGAATCTCGCGGATCGGTACGGAGACGTCTGTATTTATCCTCGAGAGGCTGCAGAACCTTTAGGAAAACTTCGCATTCTTGAATTCTTATCGTGCGTCCCTGATTCAACTTGAAAAGTAACTCTTGAAATTCTTTCCACGCGTTCGTATGCGCGCATGAGCGCTCAGTATCAGATGTGCCTTGTTGGCTTGTGATTC